GATGGCCAAGGGTCTTAGTCTACCCGTTCATTTCTGTGCTTATGTGACAGGAGAATGATTTTCTATTCTTTCCGGGCAATTTTCTCTTCCCACAGGAAAATAATCAGTCATCAACCCAGTCTTAGCACCCTTTTTATGAAACTCTGTTGGGAATTTTGCTTCTTCATCTCTTCCTAGTCTGGATGAGGTTTTCTTTAACATAAAACATTAGTTCTATTTGGCATATACTTTTCCTAAACTGTTTAAGTCAGAGATAGGTCCTTGACCTGAAGTGATATAATAAAAGTTGTCCTTACTATGTTAGAAAAAAAGAAGATGCACTGAATAAGGTAGATAATGTGCTTCATAGTTTGAAACAGTCTGAGAAGCAGAGCTTATTGTAGGTCTGGGAATTAGATCTCATCTCAAAGATGGTGTCTCAGTAATTTTTCTCATTACTGGGATGAAATACCTGTCACCCACAAGTTTAAAGGAGGAAAGATTTATTTTGGCTTACAGTTTATAGAGGTTTCAATTTATAGTTGGCTGGCTCCAAGACATGGTGGTGTATGGCAGACAGCCATTACAGAGGAGAAATAGTACATGCGGGGGCAGGCAGAAGGCACTAGCAGCAAGCTGGCAAACACCATGCTTATCTCCCATCTATCCCTTTATATTCCATGCAGGTTGTAAGCCTACCAATTGGTGCCACCAACATCCAGCTTGGTCTTCCACTATCCATACCAAGAACTATGCTAATCCCATCAGCAGTGTAATCTGCATACCCGTAAACCCAGTATCACACCATTAATTCACATTCACAGGCCCTAGATCCAGCTACCTCCAAAAAGCTCCACCTATGAGCACATGCGTTTTGGAAGGACATCTGTTGGGGCTTGTACATAGAGGTAGTGTGTAGGAAGAAAAATGAGCAAGCATATTTAGGAATGGGACAGAAGAACTCTGAGAAACTAGAGACAGAAAGGTAGAATCAAAAGAGTAATCTGTCTCCAAATAAATCCTTATTCTGGCTCAGTTCTCAACTTTTAATCTGATTTTGTGAATTCTAGTGCACATATTGCTCTTTTGATTTATTGCATTTTAGAAATAAGCATTGGTGATCATAGTGTAAATGACTAATGATAATTTTCTATTACATGTAGAAAAGGGCAAAATTTAAATTCATGTACTAGCCATGTAGAATACATACATCATCCTTCATCATTAGCAATGATGAAACTTGCAGAAAAAATGTGTAAACAGAAAGGAGAATAATCTTGTCTTAGAACGTCCCTTCCTTCCACATTGTGAGACAACAATAACAAAAATCTCCCCCATAAGGTCACTTGTGCACATTATTAATGTTGGGAAATATGAACTCTTAAGTCAGTAGAATTATATTCAAATGAGTCTACAGCTAGTTCAGAGGTGGGAAAAAGAAACACTTCACCCTGGATCGCTTCCTGCTGATTAAATGACAAATCAGAAGAAAATAGTGATTTGAGACCCTATTGATACATCTTCAGCTAAGATTAAGTTATTAAGTGAGACTTTCTTTGTTCAGTACTAAGGCAAGTTAGTAATTCAAGAAAAAGTAATATCAGCAAAGTAGGAAGCAGTGTTTTGTAGCTGCACATTGTATATAATAAAGAGAAATGAATGTCATGACTAAGGTAGATCAGTGATTTCCAGAACTGATTAATCACAAATCTCCCTGAAGTCACTTTTTAGGAATCCATTAGAAGCTTTTGCCTTGGCAACTTTGGTCCAGGTAAATCCTATTATTGCTTGAGAAAACTGGATGTAAATAGTATATAGTTATTCAAGAAAAAACTAAATATAAGTTATAGGGCAAAAGTCCTAGGCTATTGTGTCTTATACTAAAGGTTTAGACTAGAAGGGTACATTTAATGTTGGTGTTATGGTTTGTGTCTAGTTGTCCCCCCAAAGCCTCAAGCAGTCATGGGGTGGAGTTTGTGATTGATTATTGTGGGTGTGGATGCTACACCTACCCTGTGGCAGGTAATCTGCATTACAATGTAAGGAGGGGAGAGAGGCTAGCTAGCTGAGGTAGCTGCTGCCCCTCCCTTTGCTCTCTACTTTTTGCCTCCCACATGAACAGCTGCTCTCTACCACTCTTCCTTGGAGCCAGCTGAGTATGGACTGAAGCTTCCATTGACTGCGAGCAAAATAGAACTTTTATTCCTTAATTTTGGGTGCTGCATATTTTGTCCCATCAATGAGAGAAGATTAACTGAGATAGTTGGATAGCTCCTTTAAATCACACAAACTCAAAGATTGTGTTAGAAAAGAAGCAATAAAAAGATATATTGAGGGGCCAGGGAGATGGCTCAGTAGAATAAGCACTTGCCTGGCAAGCGCAAGGGTCTGAGTTCAATCCCTGGTTTCAACAAAACAAAAACAAAAACAAAAAAA